CCGGCTGATGTTGAAATCCTTGACTGATGTCTCTTGTGTATTTAAACACCTGCTGGGAACACAATGTCCTAGCCCCCAGCCAGGCAGCAACTCCTCTGTGCAGCTGCTTTGGGTGGGCACAGCTTGGCGACCACAGATGCTGAGCACAACAGTTAAAAACAAACCACAGTGGTCAACACTCACTTAAGCACTCCCTCAAGGGTGACCGTGCCTCCCTGAACTGGTACTTTGCTCTCTCACCAAGAACGGAGCAACCCTTTTATTTCAATCTTGGTCAAGTATACTAGTCAGTGTTCCCTCCTGGTTTACCTTCATCCCCTCTGACATCTGTGCTTGCTTGATCCCTCAGCCTGATGCACTGGACTCCATGGCCCCATGGCCCGCATGGAATCCTCCACAACCTCTCATTAAATCAGCAACACCTACAAAAAACACTTCCTGTTCACTTGGAGAGAGATTTCTGGAGTTCTGAACATTAAAGGATCAGAATCCAGGCTTCTGGCCCATTCTTAAACCATGTCCTTGACCTTCATATCTCTACAATTTGTTTCTCCTCTGCACACCTTATTGCCTGCCACACTTATTCACTCTGTGGGAGGGACCTGTGGCTTCCTTGCCCCCACGTGTCCTTCAGTCAGCTCCATTATTGCACATAGTCAGTATCTGAATCAATGATTCTCAGCTGTTGCTAGACTTCCCTGAGAAGATTTTAGATAGATAGATAGATAGATAGATGATTGATAGATAGATAGATAGATAGATAGATAGATAGATAGATAGATAGATAGATGATAGATAGATAGATAGGTAGATAGATAAATAGATATAGCTAGACAGGTAGATAGATAGAAGATAGATACTGCTTTGTGGTAATGCTTCTCAAGAGGGTGAGGGTGGAGAGGAAACAAGGAAGGTTCTAGGGAGGGAGCTAAGGAAACCAGAGAAATCTGTGTATACATGCATGTATTATTGTTATTACAAGCAATACATAATGTACAAGAAATTTACATATATTGTTATGTACAATATATAATCATATATAATATTAATCATGATCTATTATATATCATAAAAATTTCTTTAGATATTTATATATAATAATATAATTACATACTAGATATAATATATAAAGGAATTTTATAAATTAATATAATGTATATTATATATGTACATATAATTACATATTATATGTAATTGTGTAAAATTCTTTATATACATATGATATAAGTACCTATAATGTATATAAAGGGATTTGTATATAATATTGTAAATAATATAACACATATTATTACATATGATTACATATTATATGTACTTATTGTATGTAAAAATTCCTTTCTACATTATGTATTATGTGCAATTATAACATCACATATATATGTATATGTATATGTAAATTCCTTTGGTTCCCTGTTAGAGATTCTGAATTAAGTGGTCTAGGGTGAGCCCTTAACATTTCAGGAACTTCTCAGGTGATTTTCTTGTGCTGCCAGAAGTGAGTACCACTGATTTTGACTGAAACCTTTGTAAACTTAGATCTCTAGATAAGGTAAATAGAACATATTTAAAGTAAAAGGGAGAACAAATTTAAAGTAAAGTAAAGCTAACAGAAGTCCCTAAATAATTTACATCAAGGAGAAGAGGGCCTGGACTGTTAATTCCTCTCTGTCTGCCCTCCCTCCCTCCATCCCCAGAGAGAGACATTACCACAAATTTTTAAGAACAGGGAAAGGGGCACTCTCAGCAGCTCCCTTAGCGGCACTGCCTCTTTCCCTGAGCCTCCATCTTTTCCTGGCATCCGGAAGGCTCTGCTCTCATTGCCTCTTCTGGGCAGGGAGCTCTATTCCATGGCCTCTTCACATTTGTCCTCTACTGCTGAGCCTCACTTGAATCAACAGACTCAAAGGATGCTTCGGAAGCTTCTTCCTGTCCTCAAGGCCCAACTGAGCTGACCCTCCCCAGTCATGGCAAAGCAAGACACATATGAGAAGTACCATACAGAGACCAGAAGGTAGCTGGGGTGGTCCAACAGGAAAGAAGACAAAGAGATCTGAGGGGTAGGGAGAGGCAAACGGTCCTGGTTTGCCAACTTTGAGCACTAAAACTGAGACAGACTTAGACAAACCAGGTCAACTGGTCATCCTTCAACCAAGCACAGTTTGTATCCTTCTGGAATATAAACTTAGGTAGGGTAGTGAGACCTTACCTGGCACAAGCATTTCCTATTTTGGTTGTCCTGTGACCATACAGGGAGTCAGTTTTCCAATTTCCAATTTGCTTTTTCTTAAAGATTAAGGAATTAATGTGTCAATCATAGAAAAATTTAAGTATTCAGAGAAGCAAGAAGAGAATAAATGAAATCTCTTGTAATCTCATTTCCCAGAGAAAACTACTTTTAAGATTCTAGTGTTTCTCCTTCCAGTCTTTTTATGCTCATATATTCAAAATTTCTATGCATATACAAATATGTTAAATTTATTTTTCTATTAAAGAAATCAAAGAGGTTGGAAGAATAGAAAAGATCACTAGGCACACCAAGGGAAATGAAGAAAAGATGGCACACAAGGGAAATGGAAAATAACACACGAATGACTAGGTAAGAGAGAATAAGCCAGAAGCATCTGAGCTTTCCCAGGGACCACAGCCTCGCGCCTAAGCGTCAGGGGGGTGCTTTGTTTGTAGAGAGAGGCGGGCTAGGACCATGAGGCCATGTTCCAGCACCACACCCCCTCCATGGTAACGCGGGCTCTCTGCACATTTCTACGTTCCAGAACTCTAGAGGATTGGGCAGCACTTTCAGGAAAGGCTGTTGCTAAACAATGTGTAAAGGGCTCAGAGAAGAGAAACAGATGACAAAAGAGGAAACAACAGGGCCTTTGAGCAGATGGGAGAGACAGCAGAACTGGTCTGCCTGAAAAGAAGGGACATCTGAGGGACAACTTAATAACACTCTTCATGTAGATGAAGGGTTTGCACTTACAGGTGACCTGCTGTTCTCTGTTTTCCCTAAGAACTGGCAAAGGAGAACAAATAATAAATGTTACCTCTCATGTGTAAATGCTTCTAACTTTGCTGGAAATATTTCATTCCCATTGGTTGATATCGTCCTCAGAACATCTTTGAGATGCTGAAGGAGCTTGCACAGGGATTCAGGTTTTATGCAGGAGAAAATGCTGTGAGGGTTGTTAAAGCATTCAGTGAGATTTTTCACATAGGCCACAGACTCTGCCTTTAATGGTTAATAAAAACAGAATTATTTTTCATTATAGGGGTGTTTTCTACATTGCCCTGACTAAGGCAATGCAGGGAATAATATGTCTACCTTTTATTTATATGATTCATTATTTGAACATCTTTCACCATCTTAAGCTCATTCAGTCTATGAAACAATCATATGAGGTTGCAAGAAGATGTTATTTTCCCATTTTTCAGGTGAGAATGCTGGACCTTTAAAGAAGTAAAGGGCTTGCCCAAGGTCTTGTGGTGAACTGGGGAGCTAGAGTGTATCCTAGACCTAGATTCCTGGTTTCCAAGATTCTAGTCAAACTAGTTGTTCTACACCTTCAACACACATCAGAGAGTCACCTAGAGGGCTTGTTAAAACACAGCTTGCTGGATCCATCCCCAGAGTTTCTGATTCAGTAAGTCTGAGGTAAGGCCTGAAAATCTGCAATTCTAAAAAGTTCCCAAGTTCCCACATGCTGCTGCTGCTGCCTGGGAACCACACTCTGAGAACCACTGCATTGCATCATGCTTGCCAGCCCACTAGATCAGTGATGAAAAATATTTCATAAAGGCCTTAGACCCACAGAAGTTTAATTTAACCTGAAAATCATCTCCATGGAACTCACTGACTTCTGACCACTTCTACAAACAACCAGCCCTTGTGTTACCAGAGCAAAATAGTACATGTACCCATTCTCAGGGTTGGGGTCCAACTCTCCTTTCCCAACAGTTTCCCAGAACACTAGAACCCCAAATGGTAGACATGGGCAAGAAACTAAGAAGTTTTAGGGCTTATTCTATTCTATGATGGGCTCTCTTCAGGGTCTTCTATAATGCCTTATTTTATGTTTGCAGTTACTCTTTGATATAGAAACAATTATTCCCATTTCACAGATTAAGAAACTGAGGTTCAAAAAGGTTATGCAATCTACCTAAGAAAAGAATTAAAATATCCAGCTTCAAAACTATATTTTTCCTTGATATCACATATTTAATTATTTTAGATCCATTACCTGATTTCCAGTATACTCAGCCTAACTTTTGTTAGTTCTTTGGCACATTAACCAGTGTTTCTTTCCCCCACTCTACACGGCAGTTATTTTCCCCCCAGCCTATGGCACTGTACTTAATTTCTTCCTAATTCCTGAAGCTCTCTTCTGGGCTTTGGAGCCAGAATCATTTAGGACTTGTTAGCTGGCTGATTATTTTGACACAGAAGACCTACCTAAGAGGGACTTATTCGGGTTAATTGTGGTACATCCCTATGATGATGTTTGAGTACATATTGACATTAAAGATTGCCATGATATATTTGATGTTTTAAAACAGTAAGTTATAAAGCACACACAATATACCTTTTCTGGGAAAATAAAATCATATGAAAACACATATATGCATATGCAAATGAACCTACATACATTTCAATACTCATGGGAAGGGCATATATCAAAATGTTAATAGTGATTAATTCAGAACGAGTGACTTTTTTATTTTCTCCAATTTGATTTTCTAAATTTTGTGCTTCTTCCATTGGTGCATATTATTTTGTATAAGAAGGCCTTCTTTGCCCATTCTTAAACTTTCTCTCTACACGTTAAGTTCTTTATAGGTTCCTGGTGTTTGTTCTCCTAGTTAAATATTTAGCTCTATGTTCCTCTCTCTACCAGAAAGGAAGAGTTCTTTGGGAGCAGAAAGAAAAAACTCTCGCCTCCCCCCTATATCCAGTTCGGGAAGAAAACAAGGCAGCTACTAAACCTCACCTCCCCTGAGCTCACCCTGTGTTTGTGCAGCAGAGCAGCGTCCAAGGGCATCTAAGAGCAGAACTTACATAATAATGACTTCAGGATTCTTGGGATCTGCAGGGTATGAAGACACCACCTCGTAAATCTAAATGATTTATAACAACAGCAAATATACTATAATAAATACTTAAAGAAATCAATGAACAAAACTTAAGTGTTGCAGCAGTGCCTAAAACAACATTGAAAAATGAATAGCCAGTGTTTGAAGCCCCCCATTGAATAGTAAATTCTCTAGCAATTCTCTGCCCAAGTGAGTCTGCTTGAGACTCCAGGACAGTGGGGACTCCAGCTGTGCACGTTGGGTGGGGGTAAGGGGGGTAAGATTTTACAGTGTAAAGCTAGGGCCCCTTGAGGTACAGACCTTTGGTCTGGGCCTCTTCCGGCAGAGATCTTTCTCAAGTGAAACAGGAACCACCAGGTGATGCTCTGTGAACTGGCTCAGTCACACCCGATGCCCTGGGTCAAACCACCTACCTGGGTAAAGGGAGCCAGTGGTTACCCTGTATCTGCAACCACAGCACCACCTTTGCTGCGAACGCCATTAGTGCCAGAAAGGGAGGGAAGATGTCTTCTTCTTCCCTGTGAATGTAGGGAAAGCATAATCCGTGGTGGGGTGGGGGGATCATTCACTGAGCAAAAAGTAGAATTTGAAACTAGAACATCTCTAAGCCTGCAAATAAAAATTTATGAATCTTCAGAATAGGATCATTAAAGTGAAAGCAATTTCTAGCCCAAGTCCCACGTGCTTCACTCAGACAAGCCTCCTGAGGTAGACAAAGGGGCACCTCTCCTGGGGGCCCACTGGGTCTGGCCTGAAGACTGGTTGTTTGAACGGCTGACGGTTTTCTAAAGAGCTCTCAGAGAGAACAAAAGTAATGAAAGCAATTCATGTTTTCTATTTAAGAGAGTCAGCCGCTGGCATTCTCGGCCCTTCTGAGGCTTATCCATCACTGTCACCGTTAGGCACGGTGTGTGGGAGCCCGGTGTACAAAAGAGAATGAGCTTACAGCCCCTGCCCGGCAGGTTAGGGAGCATGGAAAGCATCTGCAGTTGGGCACCCGACGGCCGAGAGCGGGGCACACCTTGCTCCACTTCCACCGGAGGCTTGTGGAAAGTATTACCCCCGAATTATAATTTGGCTCTATTACTGAAGTGGCTGTGTCCCAAACTCACTTCCTCTTGGAGGTGATCTTTTGGAACATGCGTGTGGCAGGTTTCTGCTCCCCGCACCAGCCTGCCTTCCTACTGCAAATTAAATCCACGTTTCGGGCCCCACCTCCAGCAGCGTGGCAGGGTGTCCTCCTCCCAGCACGGAGTGTCTGTGCAGACAGAAGCCCTGAAAGCTGAGCAGGGCAGGGCAGGACGGCGGGGAGGCGGCCAACTGGGTGGCGCCTCACATACCGAGCCCTTGGCATGAGCAGCACCGAGAAAATTCAGAACATTCGTGACCAATCCAAGAGGTGAATGCACAACCATCATCACAAACACCATGCTGTGTGGCACAGAAGCAAAGCCGTCACCTCACATACGCAAAAGGAAACATTCTTCAGGAAGCTTGACCAGCGCTAAAGACAATGAGGCACAGTCCCTCTCCAGCCCGTCTCATTGCGCAGCCCCACCTATGTATTTACAATGCCCGCCACCCCACAGTATCCCTCCCCTTCTGCTTCTCCAGAGAGGCCCGAGGAGACGGTATCTAGCCGAGCTGTCCTCTCCTGCACGCCTAAGCGAGCACACCTTCGCCCGTCCGGTGGTGTAAACAGAACCAGGGCTTTCTTCTCCCTGCCTGTCTTCCTCTGTCTTGTAGAGCCAGCTGAGAGAACATTCACTCTTTCTATATTCCGATTAAGCCTCCTTTCCTCTGGCAGCATTGCACTGGTCTTTGTAACCAACTCTCTCCCCGCTACCATTTCCTCAGGGGTCACGATGCTTCTCTGAGTCCCTAAAGCAGCTTACACAGGACAGCCCTGCCTTGGAGCGCCCCGGCCTCAGCTCCGAACCAGGAAGCCTGAGTGAAGCATTTGAACCAGTCCCCTGAAAAGCTGGATGGATGGCAAACAAGCACATGAAAAGGAGCTTAGTATCATTTGTCACTAGAGAAATGCAAATTAAAGGAGACGCCATGAGATACCACTGCACATCTGTTAGGATGGCTTTTAAAAAACCACACTAACAATACCAAGTACTAGAGAAGATGGGAAACATGACTGCTGGCTGGAATATAAAATGGTACAATCACTTTGGCAAACAGGTTGGCCATTTCTTATACAGTTCAGTGTATACTAACCGCATGAACTAGCAATCCTACTCCTAACAAATAAATGTCTGTGTTCACATAACAACCCTTAGGCAAATGTTTATGGCAATTTCATTCAAAATTATGCAAAGGTGGGGACAGACCAAATGTCCTTCTCGTGGGTGTGGATAAACAAACTGTGCTACAGCCATACAATGAAATATGACTCAGCAATGAAAAGCAATGAACTATTGAAACAAGCTACAACACAGGTGAACCTTGAGAACATTATGCTAAATGAAAGAAGACAGCCTCAAAGTTCTACATATTACATGCTTCCATTTATGTGATATTTATAAGATATTCTTGCAAAGGCAAAACTTTAGGGATAGAAAACAGATCAGTGATCATCAGGTACTGGTGGTGGGAGGGCAGCTGACTCATGGGGCGTGGAAGAATTCCGTAAGAGAGGGAGCTGTCCTATAACGTAATTAGGGGGGTGGTTGTACTACTTTACATATTTATCAAAACTCACTCAATTATACACTTAGGGTAAATTTTACCACACGTAAATTGAAGTTTAATTTTAAAACTGTGAAGTCAGATGTGGACTCTGTCTGTAAGCAGGCTGTATAAATAGCCACAGTGGCACATCTCCAGTCAGCCTTTCCTGAAGGGGCATGTCACTGCGTGTCTCTTTCCCCTCAGTAGGGAGAGATCACTTCAGAGCTTGTGACAATAAGTGCAGCTTCCCCAGAGGCTTCTAGCTTTGGAGGAAATTGCTACTGCTGCTTAGTTGACAGAGGTGACACTAGCAAAGAAAGTCAGCTTGTGCAGCTGGTTAAATCCAAGGGTCTCTGTCAGGGCTGCCTTTTATAAACAATGTCATGCAATTACCGGTCACATAGTAAGTGGTAGTTACTGGTGCTGAACACGGTCACCATAAGCCATTTAACACCTAAGACAACCCCCAGGGTGAAAGTGATGGGAGGCAGCCTTTCCTGTCATGTGGTCAGCATGTGACAAGCTCAGGAAGGTCCCCAGACCCAGGTTGCCCTCCGTTCCTCCCCTCACCCCACACAGTGCCCAGCGCCACAGGCCACTGTCCTGGTGAGTGACAGCTCACTCTTCAACCAGAGAGCCACCTGACTTTGGCTCAGAAAGCCGAGAGGCAGGCATGGGTCAGGATGGACAGGCCTCCATTGGCCCTTGTTTCTCAGACAGGCGAAGTCTGTTTGGGGCCAGTTCTCCCCACCACAGAGAGCACATGTTCCTGGGAGTCAGCCTGTCCCTGGCTCTGGAAAGAACCCTCTGGGCCAGAGATAAACTGGGGCCTGATGGCTCTCCCAGGGAGTTGTCTCTAGTCTGCCCTGCCCAGGGCCGCGCCCTACCAAGGCAGGCCACCTCCCGCCTTGAGGAGGCCCCCAGCTGCCAGGATTCACCTCCCCCTGGTTTCCACCCCACCCGGGGCCCCAGGCTTCCGTCCTGACTCTTTTCTCCTCATTGTTTTCTCCTGGCTCTTGGGTATCCTGAGCAGCAGCCCCTCACTCTCTCTGTCAGTTTTATTGAGGCCTAACTGACACACAATTACTGGCACATTTTCAAGTACACAATTTAATAAATTTTAATATGTACACCCATCTAGGAAGCTATCAACAGAGGCAAGATAGAGAACATATCACCCCAAAATTTCTTTGTGCCCCACTTTCTAATCCCTCCCTCTTGCCGTTGCTTGTCCCTCCTTCCCAAGACTTACTGATCTGCTATCACCGTAGATTAGTTAGCATTTTCCAGTGTTTTATAGAAATGTATCATACATTGCTGCTCTTTTTGGAGTGGGGGGTGTTTCTGGCTGCTGTCAGAATTATTAGGGGATTTTTCCATGTTGCTGCATTTGTCAGTAATTCATCTCTTTTTATTGATGAGTAGTGCTCTCTCCTGTGGCTGCACCACCCTTTGTTCCCCCATTCATTTGTAGATGGACATCTCAGTCGTTTCCAGGTTCAGAGCCACTTTCCTCTTAAACCAGCCAGGATGGCAATTCCTTAGGAAACACCCAGAGCTCCTCGCTGCCAAGACTTCCTGCTCTAGTCACTCCTGCACCGCTGCGCTGGGAGCTGCAGGAGTCAGTCTGCCGGGTATGGCAATAGTTGTGGGGAGAACTGGCATCTCCATATACCCCTCCACGTTCCCCTTTCTCCCTACCACCTCATTCCAGTGGCCTCTCAAATCACAAGGGTCCCTTGATTTGAGCCAGGAAGGGATGTGAGCATCGGTACTGGGAGGAACGGGACCGTTTTATAGTGACACCTTCCTCGGTGATCTCTCCCGCTGTTTGTTCTTTCAAAAGACAAGTTTCTGCGGTTGATACCTTTTGTAAATCCAGCTCTTGGAACACGTTTTTAAGAGACCGATGTAGAATGTCTATGGTAGTGTTTCTTAAGCTTTGATGTAGGCACCAATCTTTGTAGGATTTAAATGCAGATTCTGATTTAATAGGCTCAGATGGGGCTTCAGATTGTGGAATTCTAGCAAGATTCTAGATGATTTGATGCTGCTACTCTTCAGACCACACTCTTGGAAGGGGTCAGAGAAGTTCAATCATTTAGTAATTGCTTTTTAACAAGTGTTTAACCACTACTTATAAAACTCCACTAAATAACAGGCTCATTCCAGTCACCCTGTCCCCTGGAGATACTGCCGCTATTATGAATTGAATACCCTAGGAATGCCTGCAGTGCTCCCTGGAAGCTGGGACTGGCATTAGTGCTGGGTGGTGTCAGATTTTAGAGGGTCAAGAACAGCACCTCCTGCTGGCAAAATACTGAATGTTCCTCTTGTTTTCTGCCCCTTGGCTCCTGAGAAATTCTTAAGTTCAGGAACTAAGACTGTAGAAATAGGTTACGGGATAGGATGAGAGGCTGTAAAAAAAGAGAAAAGAAACAAGAGTATTGGTAGGAAAGGAAGGAGGAGTTCCTAAGTGTGTGCCCAAGGCTGATCCAGCCAGGTGCCCAAGGACTGAATGGTCAATCTGAGACGTGCTGTGAGTATAAAACCTCTGTCTCTAGGAACACTTTGCAAAAAGGCTTCACCTGGGCCACTGTTCCCATTAAATAGCCCTACCTGCCATTTGTTGGCCCTCAACAACTTCCATGTTTGAGAAATGCCTGCGTTAATTCAGTTATTTCTTGAGGCTATGTACACTTCATTCAGAGCCTAACTCTAATGGAATCTTTTTTCCACAGGAACTAACTATCACAGGCTTATCTAGAGTGGAAATGAGCTGGTAATAGGAACTGTGGAGATCACAGATCTCTGGGCACAAGGTCTTGATAAAGTGACTCACTCAATCACACAAATGAATGTTTATCTCATATCATGTCCTAAGGAACTATTGATTCAGCCCCTCGCCTCGAGGGAGGACAGGACAGAAACGGATAGGTCTATACTCACTCCCGTTGGGAGGCCCAAGCCAAGTGTTGTAGGAGATCAGAGAAGAGCAGCGCATCTAGCGAGGGTAGCCAGGGAGAAGGCGGCCTGGGGCTGGCAGCACATACCTGAATGATCCCTGGGAGCTGCTTGGGAGGAAGTTAGGGAGAGGATGTACCTTGTAAAAGGCACAAAGGTGGGATGCCTTCAGGGAAAGGAAGCTGCACAGTCTCTTTGTGTTGGGAGGAATGGGGCAGGAAAATGGGATGCGAGGCAGGAGGTCTACCCCAGCTCTATTACTACCTGAGCTGGATTTGGTGTCTAATTGAGGATACAGAAGTGACAGAATCAAAACGGAGCTTTAAGGGTGACTTGGCCACAATGCATTTTGGTGGACCAGAGTAGGGTGAATCGGGAGGAAGGGAGAACAGTTAGGAGGCCACAGTATTAGTCTAGGCGAAGGGCCTTGGCTAGCAAGGAATCTGGGAATAGAAAAGGTTGGCTTAGATGAGGGAGGGGAAGGAAGGAAGATACCCCAGGATTGGGTGGCCGTAGGTCAGGGGTGATGGAGAAAAGGCAGTGATCATGCTGTGGTTTGAGTCTCTCTGGGAGAATGACAGCTCTGAGCCATGAGTCTGGTTTTAGTCAGAGTGAGACATGCATGTGAAAATATCCAGCAGGCAGTTAGAAACAAATCTGCAACTTTGAAAGCAAGAGCCCCTGGTGACACACATTTAGCATCCTCATCTCAATGTCCTTCCACAACAAGCAAAACAAGAGATGCCCTAGGACCCCACACAGTGTGACCCACAGAGGCTGCAGAAGTGAGACAGTCAGGGTCTTTCCTGGGCAGTAATCAGAGTCACAGAGGAAGCAGGTCCCTCCTGCCCCACAGCAGTGGGGGAGGGGGGGAGGGGAACGCAGCAGGACAGCATATGAGGGTGCTGTAATTAATTAATTAATAAACTAATCCCGCTAAGTAATTAATGTCTGCATCCTGCAAGCAGAAGAGAGAAATTCATCAGAGAAGGAAATGGAAGGGAAAAGGCCCCAGGGGTAGGAAATCAAGATATTGAGATGTCTCTAAGTCAAAAAGAAAACAATTTCAAGTGACAGCTGTGATCATTACTGTCAAATGCTACCAAAAAGTCAAGAAGGAGAAGAACTGAGCAGGTGACTGATTTGGGGACTTAGAAGTCATGGTGACCTTTGGTAGCAATTTCAGTTATGAAACATCAGAGACAGTCATATTCAAAGGGATTAGGGAATGAGTGAGTTATAAGGAAATAGAGGAACATTGAGCATAGATGTCTTTTTTAAGCATTTTAGTAAAGTACTAAAAAGGAAAATGAGTACTGGTAGTTCAAGGTGAGAGTAAGTTCAGATTTTTCTTTTTTTTAAATGAGATAGCCTGGAGAAAGTTGCTTTTCCAAGGCATGGAATGGGAATGTTCAAAGATTGTGGAGTTAATTAATGAACTAGGTTCGAGGGGAGGGAGAGTGTGAAGGTCTCCTCGGCTACTGGCTGCTGGGGACCTGCCCTCCACCCAGCAGTCACTAAGCCCTCGCCTGGGGTTGCAGCCTCGGTCAGGAAAGGGGGTGCCCCGTGAGTGGCTCTCTGGCTGGACCCTGAGTCTTCCCGGAGCCACCCACCCTGACCAGCGGGTTCTCCCTGCTGCTCCATTTCCCTCCCTGACAGTGAACCGGTGGCCTGAAGCCCAGTTTCCTGGGGCATTATTTCTGAACCTCACCTGTAAATAAACTCTTACCAGTCCTGAGCACCAGAATTCCCTAACATCCAGTAATAGCTCCTTTAGGTGCTGAATATTCATATTTCTATGAACCCCAGCCTTGTTTGCATTTGGGACTTAGTTTAGAAATGTGGCTACTTATCATCTCCCTAAGGGCAACCTAAAAAACACCTTTTAACCCACAGCTGTCAAACACCCTGCCTTATTTGCACCTAATTACCAGAGCTCTGCTTTCTCCAGTGCGGCTCAGCCTGCTGAAGCCTTGGCTCCGTGCTGAGAGCAGGAGAAACTGCGATCAAGAGCTCAGGTGAGGAGCGGGGGGTGCACCCTTTACTTCCGGGAAAGAGTAGGGAGTTGAAGCAGGTCGGCCTTGAGCCCCCCATTCTCCAGTAAACCAGCCTTCCATCTATCCAGTCATATGTTCAGCCTCTCAATCCCTCGTTTATCTGTTTCCCTGTCAATAAAATCTGTGAAGCACCCACAATAGGTCAGGCTTCAGAAATAAGAGACAAAAACACGGAGAAAGCCTCAGGAAAGACAGAAACTAGCCTATCTGTGACTCAGAGAGCGAGACACACCCAAATTCTCTCTTGCTTTCAGCCAAGGAGAAAGGGGAAAAACCTGTTTTATTCACCCATCTCGGTGCTGGGGATCCCCTTAACCAATTAGGATCCCAGGCCTGTCTCACCTTCCTGTTTTCCCCCTAGGAAGTGTGAGCAAAGCTGTCATTTGGCAATTCTCAGCAATAAGGCAAGCACAGGAAGCCAAGTCATTTAAAGACTGCCCGGACTGTCAAATGTAGAGGTGGGAATGAATGCTACCTGTGTAATAATTCTTGCTATTCATCACAGCAACTGGAAAACGAGTATTTTAACATTGCAAATTCAAATCTAACACCAGGCCCCACTCTATGAGAAGCAGGCTTCTCAACCTTCCATGGCTGTGCAAAGAGAGGCCAGCAGAGGCCCCCATTCCTCAGAGACCCAGAATCCTGCCCCCTTCATCTGCTCCTCCAGGAACAGAATGGAGCCCAGCCTGGGGCCAGAGAAAGGAAAAGGTGGGGATATCAACTACAAGGCAGAATAAAATGTAAAACTTTAACAAAGGAACAGGAAAGATGCTCCACCTCACCCAGCCACAGTAGGCAAGGGAATGTGCAACAGGCTTACAACTAATTAATGCTCCTTTAAAAACAGATTTGCATTTTTTGAATTTTTGACTAAAAGCAAAAATATTGTTATGTGTAAAATATTGAAAAAGATTAAGAAGAAGGAAAAGTCACCCAGAAATAAAGGCTATTAACATTGGGTCTGTGGCCAGTCTTTTTTCTTTGCCTATATATATGTTATGTACTTATAAAGTCGTTATCAGTATTGTGGATATTCTTTTGCAATCTGCTTTTGTTTTTTTAGCTTCATATGTTGCATCCATTTTTTCATGTATTTAGATGTTCTCCTACAACATATTTAATGACCATGTTGCATCCACAGACAGGATAATAATAATAACAGCAGCTAACACTTAGAATAGAGCAGACACTTAACATAGAGTAATTCATTTAATCCTCACAATAACAGAATGAGGCAGATGCTACAAAATTATCTTCATTTCACAAGCACGGCAACTGAAGCACAGAGAAGCCATACAGCTAATAAGAGGCAAGCCTGCATTTGAACCCAGGCAGCCCAACGTGCATGCTTGTAACTACTGACTCACACTACAATTTAATTTACTGAACCTATTCCCTATTGATGGATATCATTCCAACTCAGGGGCTTTTTTGCTGTCATAAACATACTGAGTTGCACATCCTTGAATATATACTTTTGTACACATCCTTAATTATTTCTTTATAATAATTCTGAGACCAAAGGTAAAACTTACTTTTAAGGCCTTTCATATATGTATTGCCAAATTTCAGAAACATATATTATATTACATTCTCCATATATGGAAGTGTTATTTTCTTATGAACCCTTCCCAATGCTGGTTATTTTTTTCTTCTCAATTGCTTGGTGAAAGTGTTCTCTCCAGATTGTTTGAATGTGCATTTCCTCGTTTATTAGTTTCATAGAAATTTTTTTTCATAAAATTATTAGCTATTTACATTTTTCTTTTCTAGATTGCCAACTTGGATGTTTGTATATTTTTTTCTAGTAGGGCACTGTCTTTTATTTATAAGAGATCCTTACATATTAAGAATTTAAATCTTATGCCTGCTGTGGGTGTTGGAAACATTCTTCAAGGTTGTCACTTGCCTTTTAATGTTGTTTACAGTGGTTCTAAATATATATATATACATATTTTTAGTTTTTACCTTGTCAAATGCATTGATCTTTTCCCTTGTGTTTCCTCTTCCTGTATTCAGAAAGGATTTCCCTATCTCAAGAGATGATGAATGTTCACTTATGTTTTTTGCAGTTCTTTCCAAGGTCATTTAATGACTTTAGATGCAGTGAGAAAAACTGCAGAAAATCAGAACAACTTATCCCAGGGCTTGATTGATTGCCCAACTCAATATCTACTTTGCTGCCATTTTTAAAATGTTCCTCTTGGGGGGAAGACAGGACTCAATACCATTTTGTGGGTCTCCTGGGAGCTGCCCATCATTTTGCCTCAAGGACTTTTATTCCCCACATTATCTCTAGGTCTCTTCTTCCTCAGAGGTTGCCTGCTTGACTCAAGATGATTTCTCTGCTGCTGTGGATGAGAGCTGTGGGTTTATCATCTGTATGCACTTGGACCACTTTTCTGTCCTCTCCAGACTTCTCCAAAGAATATGTTTAGGAAAAACAAACACCTAGAGCTTCCAAAGACACTGGAAAATTGGTCCAAGGACTCTAACATTTCCTTTCTTTAAAAAAAGAAATTGCCTTTGCAAATGTTCATTCGACTATGTCCCTGCAGGAACAGCTTCACCCACCTAAGGGACTAGCCTCTTCCTGGCTGTGCCCCTAACAGTAAGGCTATTTTCCAAGCCCCCCAGGGCCTTCTTCCTGAGTGACAGGAAGACTCGGGGTATTGAGCTGCATTTTCTCGGCCCCCAGAAGTAACAACATGATCATTTACGTGCTCAAGAGTCACACAGTGCTGGCATAGAGTATCCTTCTAGACAAAGAGTTTACCAGGTAGTGAAAGTATAAGATACAGCCCAAATGCCTTAGCAAGAGGCTGACAGTCAAGCAAAGGGAACCATTTGTGAAGGAAGAGCCTTTGGATTCGCTATTCTTATAATATATCTCCCTCACCATTTTGAGAAGTAAAGAAATATGTTTTCTCTGTGTAATTTAACTTCATCCCCTAACCTCACCACCTTTCCTATATTACAATTAATATCAAAGTCTTTCAAAAAAGTTTTCCCAGAAAAATGTTTTCTCTCTACAATGACAAAGGTATAAATGAAAGGAGCTTCTGCAGAGGCAGGGGAGGGGGCACTAGGCCCAATCTGCCTGAGTTGTTAGAAAACAACATTATTGTGTGAACCACAGTTTTTTCCCTATCCTCCCTCACTCCAGCTCCAGGAGATGCAGGTCTCCCAATATATCTGCAACCCTGAGATGGAAACTAGCAATAAGTTTGAAGTTAATAGCAACCTGTTCCTTCTCCTGAAACATAGGGGCTTCAAACTTAGAAGCAGAGGAATGCCTATGAAATATCAACTTCCAGTCACTTTCAATTTCTTCTCTCATAAATACATTTAAAACAGTCTTTAGCTAATGACTATGGGATTTCTGGGGGCAAAAGAACATTCAAAGAAGAAATAAGAACTTCTAAGAACCTCAGGGCATCATACTATCTAGAGCCAATCACCAACAGTTTTGTTTTTTTAAATATGCTTTCTATTTTAGGACAGGTTTAGATTTACAGAACTATTGTAAAAACAGCACAGAGTTCCCATATGCCTAGTTTCCTCTGTGATTGACATCCTATGGTATAGTATGGCACATTATTTAGTATTAGAGAGCCAAGACTGATACATTATTATTAACTAAAGTCCATAATTATTCACATTTTCTTAATTTGTACCTGATGTCCGTGCTCTGTTCTAGGATCGCACCCAAGACCCCACATGACTGTAGCTGTCGCGTCTCCTTCAGCTTTTCTTGGCTGTGACAGTTTCTCAGACTTCACTTGTTTTTGATGAACATGACACTTTTGAAGAGTAGGGGTTGGGTATGCTGTGGGATGGCCCTCCATTTGGATGTGTCTGATATATCTGTCAAGATTGGATTAGGTTAATGTGTTCCAGGAGGAAGACCACAGAGGCAAAGAGCCATTGTCATCACATCCTATCCAGAGCACATGCTGTTGATGTGTCTGACTCCTGTATGGCTGACCTTGACCACCTGGCTGCGGCGGTGTTTCTCAGATTTGTCCGTTGTGAAGCCACTCTTTTCCTCTCCCCTTTCCATCATAATCCAAGGAAGAAAGTCACTAAACCAAGTAGGGAGTTCTGCTCCACCTCCTGGAGGGCAGGGATTTACATTCATTATTTGGAGTTATTCCGCTTTGATTTCTGCTTCTCCACTTATTTATTCAATCACTTATTTATGACACTATTGATTCATGAACATTTATTTTATACTTTTGGTTATAATCCAATACTAACTCAAGCAGTAGTCTCTTCAAGTTCTTATTATGAAGAATTTGACTATATACAAAAGTAAACAAAAAGTATAACTAGACTTCATGTACCAGTCACCCAGCCCCAGGAACCAGTAAGCTGTGGACAATTCTGACCCCCAAAACATCCTATCATTTCATCCCTAAATATTCCTGCACATGTCTCAAAAAGACAAGGATCATTAAAAAATACCCATAATACAATGACCATGGCTAAAAATAATAATAGTACATCCTAAAAAGCAAACAATGTTCAAATTTCAAATTGTTTCATGATCGTACATTTTACCTTTTTTTTAAAAATCAGGATCTGAATAAGACCCACACACATTTTTTTTAAAACCTTACTTTCTGTTTAACTCATTTTGCCAGCCAAACACAGTGAAAACTGTAGTCTGACTAATTGCACAGAAAATAGAGTTTATAATCAGTAGCAAACCTAAGTCCCTGGCTAGCTGGAGCTCCATCAACAGGTCACTAGATGCCCCTGCAGATGGCCTCCTGGGGAGGGAAGGCAGAGGCACAGGTCTGCCAGTGCCATCAGCATCACAGGCTGCACCTGGGAAGGACAAGCACGAAAAGGAGGAGAACTGATGTTCCTTGGATCATACAGCACTACATGCAGAAGAGTTGTTTCTGTTGCCAGCCACCGTCAGGGTGGCATCTTCCCAAACCCACAGTCCCTGGGTGGTCCACCTGCATCCTTAGGGTGATTGGTTGGTGTGTTCTTGAAGCCTGCCATAACCTACAAATTCCCCCTTTATCTCTTTCTCTCTTTCAGATCCTGTAATTTACTTGATGCAGGAACCAACTGTATGTCCTGAGAATCGTCCAGGCTGGATTTCGCTGACGGCATTCCCGGGGTGTGGTTCGGTATTCTCTGCCCTCTGTAGTTCCCTTAAACTGGTAGTTGGATCTAGAATCACTAATAGTTTTAAAACACACATCAATTGTAAGTGAAACATGTATAGTGAAACAGAAGTCATCTGGCCCTGTTAGTGTGGCCGTGGATACAGAAGCTGGTCTTGGGGGAGCCACGTTTAAGCTCAGACTGGAGCGGCCTCGAGGTGGGTGAGGGCTGTGAGGCACCGCCTCCCCGGAAGCAGCCTGAAGAATGCCTGGGGGCCGGCTGTGAAATGGTACCATTCTGACATGGTTTGCTCTGACAACTGAGTCCCCATGACATTAAGATTCAAAGGAGACTGTGTATATCTCAATCTCCTGTTTCTATTAGTTTTTAAATGGTTTTGAGGTTCTTTATAAGCAGCTGCTGATGGTATACAGTAAGTTTCTTAACTATTAAAATTCCTGTGCCCTCTGATCAGAACCCACTGTATAGTAAGTATGAAGCCTGGGTTTGAAAATGTGGGGTCCCTTGTTCAAAATTATGAAGAATTTCAGACAGCAGCAGCATTGCATTGATCAAGCACTGGGCCCTTCCAAGCACAGGACTGTGTGCCTGCAGGGCCCATGAGGCTGGTCCTGCTTGTAATGTTTCTCAGGAATAAAATGGGGAAATGGGTATTCTTCTTATCTCCACCCCTTACACAGGCCGAAGGAAGGACATCTCTACGAACAGCGCACTTCCAACTGCAGAGCTCACTGGGTGTTTAGTGGAATATCGTGGATGCTGGTGCATTATATCCCCCACAGCAAATGCCTCCTCATCTGACTCACAGAGCCCCAGAGGCCATGTTATGAAAGCCTCAGCTCTGTATCCAGGGGCTGGTTGCACTGCATGGCTCCAGGGGAGTTCAGATTCCAAGAACCCTATTTCCAGTATTGTGGCACATAGGAAAATTGTTTTGTTCTTAAGAAATAAATGCTGAAGTATTTCAGGGTGGAGCATCAGAATGCTTGCAACTTATTTGCCAATGGTTCAAGGTGTGTGTGTGTGTGTGTGTGTGTGTGTGTGTGTGTGTGTGTGTGTGACATAAATGTGGTGGTAAGGAAGCCTTCTCTAAGAGTGCACTGTGGAAATCTGTGGAAAGAGCAATCCAGAACAGGGGACCGTGGGGGCAGGTGCCCTAGGGGGGCAGGGGGCAGGGGGAACCAGGGTGCCCTAGCCAGGCAGCCAGTGGGGCAGAACTAAAGGCCTAACTTTGGGGTTTGAAAACCAGACAGGTACTTCATTCCACCACAGCATTTATCACTGTAGGAACTTACTCTGCTCTGTCATTTGTTTATTTCTCTCCTGACCAGATTATGAGCCCACTAGAGAAGGGTTTTTCCCTTATTTGCCCCTAAAACAGTGCTGCAGCAGGAGGAACTGGCAATGTGTAAGTAAGTGGTCAGGATGATCATTTAACTCAAGAACGTCCCCGGGGCCCACTTCTCCCTTGCTCTGCTTGCGGCTGGCCTGTGAGGAGGAAAGGAATCAGTGATGTCAAGCACACTGACCCTGTCTCAGGAGCAGGAGGCATTTCAAAGAAAGCAGTGGGAGAGGATGGTGGTGTTCCTAGGGCGGCAACAGCAGAGGAACTGGGGTGGGTAGAAGGGGAGGGGTAGAGGGAAATTGTCCTGCTTTTCAAATCATTCCAGATAAACAGTGTGGGCCCCACCCTCCCTTTCCCTTTGTGGACCCTCCTAAAATGTGTGTGTGTGGTGGGTGGCATGCTGCTGCTCAGGGGGATCTCATCTTCGCTCAGCAGCTTTCTCTTATCAGAAATTATCCAGAATACAAAGATTCACAGATGAAAATACCACTAAGACCCCTCACCAGGTTTCCTAGTAGGCTTCACAACCTGTTGGAATTAATCTCCTAAGGTTTAGGCAAAACACATTGACTGCTTTTATTATTATAATCTTTTATTCTGGAAATACACAGGAGCTGGCCCGATGTAAAGACAGATTTGCACTAACCTGCTTAGAATGTCAATGATCTGGCAGAATACAGTGGAATCCAGGGCCACATTTTTTTCATAATTTTTAGCAGACAGGCCTATTCTGGTGCCAAGAAAAAAATAAAAGGAAAACAGCTGCTTGGGAGAGCAAATAAAATGATAATTCCGTACCTTAAAATCAGAGTTGGATATATGCCACAGTGCTCAGCACTCTGTGAATGCGGGCAACAGTAGTCGAACGTGTTTTAAGAACAACAGGTTTCTTAAGTACAATACCTCAGGAGTATTGGCAAACCTGTGAGTTATCCCCTTGCCTTGTGAAAATGTGTGCATGTATTCATCTTAAAACACCTTGAAATTGTCAAATGCAAAAAAGTAAAATTGGACTTGTGTCATATAAATAGGTTTTATGGATCAAATGTGACTTGTAAGCCGGAGAGCAAACATCAGGAGCATCTAAGAAGCTAGGAGCCTGAAGCTCTGAAGGGGCTTTCGTATCATTCACCAAAGCCAAGAAAACAAAATAAAAATGATGCCAAATTATCCCAATGTTTCTCTCTGCCAGTGAGTATACAGTCTTTTTAGGGAACAGTCCATCTGTTTAGACAAAAGAATAGCCATCCCTTGGTCTCGACACAGGTAAAACTTCTTAGGAGACTTGGCCCTGCACCTCAGATAAAAGCTACATATGCCAAGTCCACAAACCTGTCAGAAATGGAGGTAATTCCCTGCCACGAATAAATATCAGCCTAGCCATTTGGCAAATGAGTCAGTAAGCATCCTGTTGGCAGACAGATGAAACTGAAGCAAACAGACAGCTTGAAAGCTGTTCTAGCTTCTCTCACAGTCAAAGGAACAGATAGTTGGCTGTATCAACCAGCCCATTATGGACCAGAAAAACTGGCTTTCCGTACTCTACTACACAGCAGGGCTGGTATCTTACAAATGACAAATCAATCGAAATACATCTGCTTTAGAAGAATTGTCAGCTAAGTTTTCATTGTAAATTACCCCAAGTTTTCAGAACAAAGTTAAAACTACGAACAAAATCAAGCAACTTCTTTAAGATGGTAATGAGGGCTGTAAAGATTCCTAGGAAATGTAAGGGAAGGCTGAGTTAATCTTCTTGGCGGCCTTTACTTCTCTGTGTTCAGCTTTCAGGCAGGGGCAAGTTCATTCTTAACAGTACCTGGCTTATGTTTTAGAAACTAAACAAGTAAGAACAGATACCCTCCAAAACACATAGCTTAATGATTACAATATTTTTTAAAATAGTTTGAAATCTAGAACTATTTTCTAAGACCTTTGTCTGAATATCATGTAACTTTTTAAAAGATCCAGATATCATTAATTCATTTGGAAAAAATGTTTTTTACGTATTTATGTTGGAACCAAAACAATACCTCTGATTTTTAATCTTTTCTCTGTCGATATAAATGAAATTATAATTTCTGTTGTGCTGCTGGATAGAAAAATTTCAGCAAGACTCTAAGCAAAGGGGACTGATCAGGTATATAGCTTCAGTCTCTCGCATTTCATCCTCTGTTTACTGAGACCTACCACATGCAAAGAAATGAGCGAGAGATGCGTTCTGTGTGGATCATTGTACATGGGATGTATAGGATAAGGAACCCACAGGATTAGAAATTGAGAGATGGAGCTCTAGTTCGGGCTCTGCTACTGACTATGTGACTATGTGTCGCTTAGCCCCTGGGGGCCTCACTATGTTCGCCTGTAAAACCAGAGAGAAATTAAATTAGTAGTTCTTAACCTTAAGTTCTTATCCTCAACCAAAGGTGTTCAAGGATAATATTTGGGGTCTATAAACTTGGAAGGGGAAAAAAACTGCATTTTATTTCCATTACTCACTAGCAGAAAATGGGCATTTCCTTCCATTGTGAATACAGGCAACAGACTACAGTAGTATGAGCTATGTACAGCTGTGCTTTGCACCAAAAAAAAAAAAAAATCACAGATATCTTCATATTCTATGGCAGTTGTTAAAGATATCTTGAAATTTTGTTTAGGTTCATTATTACTTTGAAATTATGGTAGTTATTAGACCTGTTGCCACTTTTTTAAAATCAATATGTTACTAAAAAGCATATACATATATGTGTGTGTGTGTGTGTGTGTGTGTGTTGCCATATTACAACTTTTTATGAAAGTGTTGAAAACTGCACCTCATACCCATTAGGATGGTACTATATTTAAAAAACAACAAAATAACAAGTGATGGAGAAAACGTGAAGAAACTGAAAAATGCACTGTTGGTGGGAGTGTAAAATGGTACTGTCACTATGAAAACAGTAGGAGCTTCCTCAAAAAATTAAAAACAACTACTATATGATCTGACAGTTCCATTTCTGAGTATAAAAATAATTGAAAACAGGGACTCAGACAAATATCTGTATACCCCTGTGCACAGCAGCATTATTCACAATTGCCAAAAACTAGAAAAAACGCAAACGTTCATCAAAAGATGAATGGATAAACAAAATGGGGTATATACATGCACTAGACTATTACTCAGCCATAAAATGAAAGGAAATGCTGACACATGCTATAATATGGATGAATCTTAAGGACATTATGCTAAGTGAAATAAGCCAGCCAAAAAAGGATCCATATTGTATGATTCCACTTCTGTGAGATATTTACAACAATCAAATTCATAGAGGCAGAAAGTAGAATGGTGATTAAGGGGCTTGGGAAAAGGGAAGGGAGAATGGAGAGTTGTTGCTTAATGGGTATAGGGCTTCAGATTTGTAAGATGAAGAAATTCTGGAGATGGATGGTGGTGACTGTTGCACAACAATCTGAATATACTTAACACTGAACAGTACATTTAAAAATGGTTAAGGTGGCAAATTTTAAGTCTTATGCATTCATCACAATTTTTAAAGTAATAATCAAAAATATATATTGATAACTTTTTAACATGGATGACATCCCTGGAATCTTATGCATTTAAAATATTCTGAAAGGGGTCGGAAGGCTTCACAAGAATACCAAAGTGGTCAATGACAGAAAGATTAAAAACTCGTTAAAAACCTCAAAAGTGTTTCTCAGTTTTGAAATTCTGTATTTTCTGAAATGGCAAAGGAAGCAAGAGAAAACAGTTGTTTTATAAAATGGATGAATGTAGCTATATGTGGGAATATTAAACCTTCACTGTAAATTGATAACTTTTTCCCTAATAACATTTTTAAGCTGGATTCAGATATATTGAAAATGTTTAAATCCCAAGAATGAGCAATCTGTGATTTTCTTCAAAAAGTTCACTTTGGGTGTCTGGTCAGATTATGAATGATTTTACTTATTGATTATAACTAATCAAGTCAGATTTTTTCCCCCTAATGTTTACCAAGATACTATAGCAGTCTAAGAAGGACTTTTGTGTCATCTCAGAAAATGATCTCCTTCCACTTTTTTAATATCTTGACTTCAAATAGGAAGAGGAAAGTAGCTCAAATCTTTAAGGACATTTCTCTGCTTTGCATTGTGCTCAACCCAGCCTCCCGCTGCCTCCCCAGGGGGCGCCACTCCAGGAAGCAGGAGCAGGTTAGGCAAAAGGACAAAAGGGATTTCCTTCCTGAAGGAGAAGCAGAGGGCTCTTTGCCAGTTCTGTTGCCCTTTCCTGGCTTTAGCTATACATACCTAAGCTGCAAAGTAGGATATTTTCAGTTGCAAATGAATTTTATATAAATTGCTAACTAGTGTGTCATTTATATAGGCTGCACGTCTGACAGAATGCCTTCATACCCCTTAGCGCAGTGGTTCTTAACCAGGGTGATTTTGTCCTCGAGCGGACACTGGCAATGTCTGGAGACGTTTTGGGTTGTCAGGCCTAGGGGAGAGAGGGGGTGTGCTGCTGGTATTTAGTGGATAGAGGGCAGGGCCAGGATGCAGCCAAGCCTACCTCAATGCATAGGACAGGCCACTGCAAAAAATTATCCAGCTCCAAGTGTCAGTGATGTCAAGGCAAGAAACCCTGCTTTGTCTGAT